ACTGGGATCGTGTCTAGCTTTTATTTTTCAGACCGCCACTCAAAGGGGCTAAAAGGGGGCTGCGACCTCCACTGAGCTGAGCCACCTCACTGAGGTTTGTCCAGTGAAGTCTCCCTTTTATTGCAATAAAAGTTTATTTTTTTTCGTCGGCTCCTCGATCTCCTGGCTATTTCTGTGTTTCCCACTGGCTGGAATTTCAGACGACCACAATCCCATGGTCTCTACAGCCCCGGCTGTCCCGCACCTTCCCATCTCCAACAAGGTCTTTGCTGTGTGTTAGGAAGAGGTGGAGCAGCACAGCGTTCCTTTGGCTTGTCAGAGGCTCCAGCCCCCTGGGCCAGGAAGTTGTCGTCACCGCTTTCCGGGAACCTGCTGGACTCTTGGTGCTTGGCTGTGTTGCTTCTCCAGCTCCCGCCAGGGCAGTTGAAGTCTCCACGAGAAGCAGGGACTGTGACCTGGAGGCTGCTTCAAGCTGCCTGTAGAGGTCTCCTCCCCATCTTGCTCCTGCTCAGGAGGCCTGGAGCAAACCCCCACAGCAGTGTGCCCATTCCCAGCCTGCCCGCCCTTTGATCCTGACCCATCAACTCCTGAGTGGCTCGCCATCCCCCCCAAGACAGAGGTCGAGACCTTCCGAGTGTCACCTCCCCGAGATCTACGGATGTCGTCTCCCTGGGCTCCTGTGAGGCCCCGCATGTGGTTGCCAGAGCATTCTTCCCTCTCCCTTATGGGCCCTGTCCAATGCAGCCCCAGGGCAGCCCGGAGGAGCCCTGTCTGGGGCTGCGCTGGGGTGACCGGGGACACGGTGGGCTCACTGGGAGCAGCCTTCCAAAGCCCCAGAGCGGCAGGATGGTGCCCAGGCTCTGCTCAGGGCTGCTTTGGGCGTGGGGCCGTCTGCGCGAGTCCTGCACGGGACCCATGTGTCCTGGCTGCCACGCCAAAGGGCTGCTTCCCCAGGCGAAGGGGACAGGGGAGTGACCCTGCGTGAGAGCCTGCACCTCTGGCAGTGACTCAGGCCCGGGGTGCCCTTTGGGTGCCCTTGGTGCCCTTTGGGCCTTGCTGGATCTGCTTGCTGCCATTTGCTGGGGCCACCCTGCACTCCCTCCCCATTCCAGGCAGACACAGGCAGGTGTTGGAATAAAATCTTTTCTTCCGTAACCAGAAGAAAACTGTTAACTATATCTACGGAACGGCGGAGGGGGTCAGACAGAAATGCACACAAATCAACAGGATTGGCAAAAATGTCCGCTTTATTAGAGGACAGACAGCTCATATGCTGCCTGCGACACACAGACATGTGGTTCTTCCCCAGGTTACATTGGATACATAAGGCAAACATACTGTGGTGTACAGTACTAGTTGGATATCAGCAGGTGTCCATAAGACTTGTTTTCCTGCCAGAACAACTCCTCCTTCACCTTGGCACAAGGCCTGTAGCCATATTAGTGACGCAGTATTTTTTACTCTCTGCACCCAGCCATGCCAAGGGGAAGGTCTCAGAAATGCAACTGAAATTGTTCACACAATTTCTGTCCACCGACAAATCCCCCGTTGATGTTTGAACAATTTAAATTGCATTTCTGTAACATTCCTTACTGTATCCATAACATCTCAATAAGCTCAAACATACAACAACACCACCATCACCAATAAACTCAACAACCTATTGACCCTAAGATGTGTGCTCTCAAAGTGTGCCTAAAAGTGCTTCTTTAAATATAGGGTTTATTCTTAAAACTTCCACTCTGTCCAGAACATCCTTGGAAATGGAACTCCATTAAACTCTGGGCCATATGTCTTCTGTTATTCTTTTTCACACCTTGGCCCTTGAATAACACAATGACATGATCGTATATTAACACTGGATCTTCCGTTTCTATTGCACTCTTTGCATACCATTCTATTGCAGCCCGGAGAGTTTGTTCAGGATTTCTTGCCATTTTATGGAAAGGTATCGGTGTATTTGTTTATCCAAAAGTGTTTGTGTAAGTGAATATTCACACATATACATGCATACATTTTCATTCATTCTCTTTCACACGGTGGCCACCATCATTCAAACACACATCACACAAACATATTTTTGAATCTCATTTCCCTGTGTCTCATGAGTAATGAAACCATACTAATTCTCTAGTACCTTATGGTGTTAAAGCTTCTCCACCAAACAGGTAAACTTTCCTCCACCAGTACCCAGTGAATAATCTAAGATCTTAACCTTCTATAATCATATGCTTAAACATACTAAAAAATTGTGCTCCAACAAAACTAAAAATACTGTGCCTTAACAACACTAAAATGTGCTCATAATGCTGACAAATTGTGCTCCTGTAATACTTACTTTAAAGTTCGTACACTCTCTTAAATCCTTAATTTCATGTGCTTAAAAAAAACACTAAAAAGGTGTATATGACTAAGAAAAACTATGCTTATAATACCAAAAAGAATTGTGCTCCAAAAACTGTGTTCTAACAATATTGAGGAAACTGTTAGCCACAACAGCTCCTGATGTTACCATTGTTACCTGCAGAAAACAGCATCAACCTTGTTCTTTCTTTCCAAGGTTTCATTCATCATTCAGGCAGCTACAAACACCTGTGTACAAAAAAGACCTTAACACATGAAACAACTTTTGCAAATGAACTGAGGGGGTTGTCACCTGTTCTCTCCCCGTTTCTGTCTTGCAAAAGTGTTTTACAAATTCTTAAATCACTGACCCCTATACCAAATACATAGCATTGTCTGGCAACTTGGTAGTAGTTTTCAAAGTGGACAAGCAATTCACCCTTTCAAAGTTTTTCTAGTTTGGATATGATATAGAATTTTACCTCAAAAATTGTTATTGCACAGCCACATATAATTTTGGGAAGACTCGTAAGCCAAAAGGTTTCTGTCATATGATGATTCCAAATAAATCTTGCTACCCACTGTAACACTACTGAGATGAAACACAGAAAAATACAAGCACTACAAAATAGTTAATGTCTGATGTAGAGTTCCCAAACCACACCAGTCTGCCTGATCTTCACAAACATCACTGATGTGACATGAGCAGCACAGAAACAGATCGTTGTATACAGTGACAACCCTTAGGCCTCAGGATGTTAAAAGTTCTATAGTTTTCCATTGTCTTCCTTTCCCCTTAGTGACACGTCTGCCCTATCTCAGTCAAGAAATCATCTTCTAAATCTGCATCTAAACAGACATTCCTCTGCTCCACAATTTGCACAGGCAACACGGAGAAAAAAGGGGTTTTTCGCAGAGTGTGATCTTTTGGCAGCTCTGGATGAGTTGTGGGGAGAGAATCCTCCTCTTTCCTAGATACCAGTGACAAGCAGTCTGCAGTGGAGCTGCTTTCCAAACAGCTGAATGTTTGTGTACATTCAGTGGTAGACCTATTTCTGTTTTCTCACTTTTTTCTCCTTGGCAAAGGCTGTTTGGTTCAAGTTGGCTGCCAGAATGCAGGAGCGCTTTTGATTCCTGAGTATGTTCTACCTCAGTGCTGGCTTCCTGCAGTTCATCTTTGTCCACTTCTTCATGCATCAGGCACAGATTTGTATTAAACTCACATTGAACTTCACAAGCTACAATATTAGTAGGTTTCTTTGGATTCTGAGATACACTAATGTCTTTAAAATCCTTTCCACTGCTGTCTTCAGTTACACTTTGGACTTTGGCTTCTGGATTGTCAGGTAAACTTTCAATCTGTCCATGTTTAATTTCCAATATATTTTTTTTTTCTAAGTTGATTGCACTACTGGTTAATTGGTTAATTATTTCTGCATCACTGTATGTTTGAATTCATAATGCTTCAGTGAAGACAAGTCTTCATCCTTGGATTCATATTCTTTGTGAGATATGAATGAAAGCACCTCTGGCATAACCTCTGCCAAACTATCTGTGCTTGTTTCCATACAGATTATCTCTTTTTCAGACATCTCTACTGGTGTTGCAGATTGGCTGTAACTTGCACTGGCAGCAACAGCTAAAGGGTGACATCGATATGTTGTCTCCTGTGAGGAAAAATCTGTCTCTGTTGTTATGCCTTCTGCAGATATTTGGTCATAATCCGTTTCTTGCATTGTTTCCAAATTACTCTCCCCAGACCTGAGGAGACATTCTGTAACAGTTGATTCTGCTCCATGTCCAGCCAGTGTCTGAAACTCATAGCTGCTTACTAGAGAGCAGTTCTTATTTGCTAAGTCACTGAGAAAGAAACCCTCATCAGGTGTTGGTATTTTTTATATTGGCAAAAGCTGCCCATGGTTTCCAAATTGGATGTGTTTTACTGCAGATGTCTGTGTTGAGGTCATATTATGAGCAAGTCCCATAGAAGATTCAGCAGTAGATGCACTGACAGATGCACTTCCCCTGCCTGAATCTGTCACACTTGATTGTGCCATCAAGTTATTATAGTCATTGTCAAGCTCATCTTTTGAAAAAGTTCGCATTTAAGTCTATGACAGTGAAAAAATACTGTTTGATCATTCTGTTTAATACTCAGCCTTAAGCTACATGTGCAGTTCAGAAGGATATAGAAGGCCAGATTCCAGCTTGCAGCCAGTTCCTTAGATGTGATCTACATCATCTCCTCGTGTTTTTAGTTCTTTTATCTATGAAATTTCGGTAAGAGAACAAAATTCACAACATAAGCAGCACAAAGGAAAACAAATAACTAGTTGTAAGAACATGTAACTCCATAATTGTGGAACAACAGCACAGAACAGGTAAAACCCACACCCGTTATATTAAAATTCTAAATCACTCACAGGTTTTAATTAATTTCCCGAATGTAAAGCTAACTAAATCTAGCTTTGAGATCGTTATATTGGGAGGCAAACTAGAAAAATTTTACTAAATTCAACCTGACTCTAGTAACTCAGCTTTATTGCAATCTCTACTGATTTCCTGACAGATTATCATGTGGTCTCCAGACATTTCTGCTTTATAAATCAAATGGGCATAAAAAGTTCTAATTCACGCATCAATAGTTTTGGAAAGTGTAATTTAGCAATCTGCTCTTTTATTGGTATAAAGTAAACACACACATTTTGCATCTTGTTAGGTTATTTTAAAAATAATCTGAAATTCATGTAGTATAACTGTTGACATAACATCAGTGCCAAGAGAGATAAGTCAAACTTCACAGCATAGTGTGTGCCTGAGTAGTGTTTTTAGAAAAGCAATTAGGCTGTATGCTATATCAGCAGTTATAAAACATTTAAAAACATATAATACGTTTTGTTTGACCAAACTGCTCTGTACATACTGTACGAATCCACGACAGAAGATATATATTAAAATCTGAAAAAAAATGTACTTGCTGCTATGTTATAAATAGAATATTAACAATTGCTTAAACAGTACATGAAATGCAACTCAAAGTTGCAACTCTGTCATAAACACAGAAGAAAAAAAAAAGGAAAAAATAATGAATTCACTAAACTTGACCAAGGAAAAGAAATAATATCAGACAGGAATGTAAATTAACATCCAAATGTTAAAATCAGCTGAGTAAACCTTTTTAAATACAATTCTAAAGATGTGATTTCCACTGTCACAATAACTTCTCAGTTTATAACAGGAAGATAGAGAGATGTTTTACCTAAGAATCAAGGAAATCCTCAGCCTGCCAGCTTTCCATTTATCTTATTTGCAGATTTGTAGTTTTTGGTGTATAAGTTCTACTCTCTCCCTAGTTCTGAGAAACTGCTGGAGGTGGTTTGAGTCCCACCCAGTTGCTAAGCAACAAATGATCTCTATTGTGTGAACCTTATGTCTCCTCCTGCTAAGACTGAACACGAAATTTGGGCAGAAGTTCTTTACAGGGGTAAAATGTGACTAAAACCAAGGCAACTCACTAAAGCTTTTATATAAAGATTCATTCTCTGGGAAACTCTTAAAATTTCTTGCATGCTAACTTTTAGTAAAACACAATCTTTTAGTTTTAAGTTATCCACAAGTGAGCAGAAGGACTAAAGAGAGAGAGATTCTGCTTTCTGTTCTCAGTTACCGACATGCCTGGATTCTGCGGGGCAACTCCCCCGCAAGCCAGTCACCGCCGAGCTGCTGTTCCCCGGGCTGCTCCGTGCGCCGTGCAGCTCCCGGGGATGCCCGCAGAAGTCTGGCTGGCTCTGCAGAAGTAGCTGTCGGCGTTGCCTCTGTCGCTGAGGTGCCTCTGCCGCCGAGGTGCCCCTGCCGCCTTTTGCCGTGGCTGCCAGCGCCGCCTCCCCCACGGCCGAGCCGGCGCAGCGGCAGCCCCAGCGCGCAGCCCCCAGCCCTGGAGCGCGGCCTCAGCACCCGCACGCCGGACTCTGGCAGCTGTTTGAGTAATCCTAAAGGGAATTTTTATGCTGTTATGTGTACCCGAGACACTCTAACGGGAGGAAATTCTCCCGGACTCTCACCTCTGGCTTTTAACAGTTACTAACAAACGTATGGCCGCTTCTCCACACACACACAAGCACGGTACCGTTAACAATACAGTGAGCTCACAACAACGTTGGACACACAACACTAACACGAGAGTTAACAAAAATACGGAAAGGCAGTTCTCTAGCCTGCCTCTCCTGTCAACGAGAAGTGGCACTTTTTCGGTGTTGCTCGTTGTGCTAATATAGCATCTTCTAATGCAAGGCACAATAGCTGCTACTTTCTTTCATATGTACCGTACCTGGTTCTGCTTTTTATTTTTTTTTTTTTTTCCGAAAACAGCGTCTGTTGCCATGGCAGCGATCCACAGTGGCTTTCTTCCGGGTTGCATGGTGGCTTCAGGCGCCAGCGATGCAGCGCCATCTAGGGACGCGGAGGCTCCCAGCAGTGTCGGTCCAGTTGACACATGCGCAGTAGCAGGCACAGTGAGGAGCGACACTGCCGACTGCGCAGCCGCAGGAGAGAGCGGTGCTGCTGGCACGGCTCCAGCTTCATTCTCCGCCGCTAGTGATGTTCCTGCAGCCCCTACACATCCTGCTGCTACATGCACGGCGCTAAACGGAGGTGATCCCGCTGCTCCTAAGGGTCCTAGCATTCGCAACTTCGCAGCCGCAGGCACGGGGATCCCCCCTACAGCAGACCGAACGGGGCGGGGACCGGCCGTAGTCCCGCCATCTCCCGACAGAGCTGTTCGAACCTTTATGAGTTCCCGTCGCTCAGAACTTAACTCTTGTAGCGACCCAACTGCCAGACGCCAAAGCAGAGTACACGTTCTAGGGGCTCCTGACCCCGTAGAGATCTCGTCCCAAAACAATTCCTTTATAGCGTCCCTTGTGGACACCTGAAAGGCGGTTCGAGCAGCGGGAAGTAGAGTCCTCGCTCTCACCCATGCCATCAACCCCTTAGGGGCGGTTCCATCAGAAACAGGCTCTCCTAGAGAGAATATATATCGGGGGAGCGTTTCCGCGGCCTCATCCTCTTTGGATGCCGCGGGCCCCATGCTCTCTCCCTCGGTCGACTCACCGGGCCAGGGTGAGATTCCTCTGTACCATGCGCATGGTTTTGTTCCGTGATGCCGGGGACAGCATCACCTCCCACGACTGCTTCCCTCAGCTCCTTCCGTTCGCCTTGCGTCCCTGCAGAACTCGACGAAGTAGGACTCCCTGTTAAATGGGCGCCAGATAACGACGGAGGGGGTCAGACAGAAATGCACTCAAATCAATAGGATTGGCAAAAATGTCCGCTTTATTAGAGCACAGACAGCTCATATGCTGCCTGTGACACACAGACATGTGATTCTTCCCCAGCTTACATTGGATACATAAGGCAAACATACTGTGGTGTACAGTACTAATTGGATATCAGCAGGTGTCCATAAGACTTGTTTTCCTGCCAGAACAACTCCTCCTTCACCTTGGCACAAGGCCTGCAGCCATATTAGTGGCGCAGTATTTTTTTACTCTCTGCACCCAGCCATGCCAAGGTGAAGGTCTCAGAAATGCAACTGAAATTGTTCACACAATTTCTGTCCACCGACATTGTTGGAGATGGGAAGGTCCGGGACAGCCGGGGCTGTAGAGACCATGGGATTGTGGTCGTCTGAAATTCCAGCCAGTGGGAAACACAGAAATAGCCAGGAGATCGAGGAGCCGACGAAAAAAAATAAACTTTTATTGCAATAAAAGGGAGACTTCACTGGACAAACCGCAGTGAGGTGGCTCAGCTCAGTGGAGGTCGCAGCCCCCTTTTAGCCCCTTTGCCCGCAGCGCTGCTCCCTGCCCGTTTCTCCACTGGCTGAGATACTCTGGGCTTACAGGCTTCCCGACACGCCTGCTCTGTGCCCCCCACTACGTCCCGATGAGGTGGCTCGGAAGGCCACTGCCATTTTTCAAAGTGGAGGCCGCTTCAAAAGGGAGGACGTGGCCACCTGAGACCTTCTGTGCTGCTGACTGGGCCCCCTGTCTCCGGGCAAACGGCACCTCTTGGGAACTGACAACTGAGCAACCAGTGACTTGTTGCTTCTCACTGCCAACCGTGACTGCACTACACCCTTTGCAAGAGCACCTTCCTAGTGCTAAGAGTGGAGCTCGGGACAGCGGGAGGAGGAAGCAAGGCAGCCTGTAAGACTAGAAGCGTGGAGCTGAGGAGAGCTGCCTTGAGCCTCTTCAGGGATCTTTTTCCTTCTTGCCTGAAATCCTTTTTTCCCCTCACTCACTGCTCTTGCTGCCCAGCCTCACTTCCTGCAACACCTTCACCCATTTTCAGTCTGGTTCTCTCACTACTTCTTTTAATCCCCAGCTTTTCTCCAGAACAGCCAATTGACATCCACGGAATCACTACGCCCAGAAGCGCCAGGAGAGCTCCACAAGTTCAGAAGTTCAAGTGGGCAGAACCCCTCTTGGACATCCCCTTCCCTGCTTGGAACATCTGATTCCACGGGAGGAGCCAGATGCTGAGCAGTCCCGAAAGCCCTCGTTTTCTAGACAGGAGCTCAACTCCAACAGATCACAGCACAGACCTAAAGCACTTTTGACCCTGAGCGGACAGAACCCCGTTCTTCTTGTCCGCACTTGTCTTCCCATGGAATGGAGAGCCGAAAAAAACCTCTCCAGGGTAGGGCCAGAACTGACAGGTTTACGGCAGAGGCGCAGAAATTGCCCTGTCATTGCCTCCGGGATGATATGCTTGCTCCAGGATCCTTCCATCAGGGAGCTTTTGTCGGATTGTTTGGTCAATTTTAGGTCAATTTCTATGGCTTTCAGCAATGTCAGCTTCCAGTGGTGAGAAGTCATGAGAGTAGTCCCCAGAATCGGGTGATGCCCCTTGGTAACAAGACTTTGTGTTTAAGTGGCAAATGTTTTTATTCACCTCCTGGCTTCTGCAGAAGTCTCCTGTTTTTCAAGACTCCTAGACTCCTAGAGCAGTTGGTGTTGGAAGGAAGGGACCTGAAAGCTCATCTGCTTCCAACCACCCCTCTGCCACGGGCAGGGACACCTTCCGCTAGACCAGCTTGCTCCAAGCCGCGTCCAACCTGGCCCTGAACACTTGCAGGGATGGGGCAGCCACAGTTTCTCTGGACAACCTGTGCCAGGGCCCCACCACTCTCCCCGGGAAGGCTTTCTTTCCCATATGCCATCTAAGCCTGCCCTCTGCCAGCGCCAAGCCATTGCCCCTTGGTCTGTCGCTCCAGTCCCTTGTAAACAGTCTCTCTTAGCCAAAGCCTTCTTGGTCCTCCCTGTTGTGTTGCAAAATTTGCAAGCTGATGTTGTGCCAGGTGGCACCAGCCAAGCCCTGAGCCAGGTGCAGGACCTTGCACTTGAGGTCTGAGGTCACTGGGGCTGTTGAGCCTGGAGGAGACTGAGGTCAGATCTCCTGGGGGGCTGCAACTTCCTGCCAAGGGGCAGCGACCATTTCTGCTCTGTGGGACCAGGGACAGGAGCCGAGGGAACGGCCGGAGCTGTGTCAGCGGAGGCTTAGGTTGGACATTAGGAAAAGGTGCTTTCCCCGGAGGGTGGTCGGGCACTGGAACGGGCTGCCCAGGGCAGTGGTCACGGCCCCAAGGCTGCCAGAGCTCAAGGAGCGTTTGGACAACGCTCTCAGGCATACTGAATCCGAAAAATCGGTCCAAGAAACTGCTCAGAGAATTTTTATCTTTAAGCAGCAAGGTATTTGTTTATTCAACGTTGGGAGCAAGCCAGCTCGCGCTGGACAAACTTGCTCAAAGGCTTCACACAAAATCAGCATTTTTATACAATCTTCAGATGTGATTAAGTGCATATTCAAGTGATTACAACATCTATCAATACATATTAAAAATAGGTGGAGTATAGGCGGAGCTTGGGGAGGTGCTTCTCTTGGCTCCCCATTTCGGAGGGTACTTCCCATCGTCCTCCATGGGGCAGGGGGCTTCAACTCATCTTCCTCAGCTTGACCCTTCTTCTTTTCCACTGTTCTTGACCCGCTCACTAAAGCTTGGAAAAAACCCTGGCTCCAGGCCTATTTCTCCTATTTAAATGTCTACCTGATCTTTGGGCTTGTGTTGTATGAAGGTTTTGTTTGTTTTGCTTTCTCAAGGCTCTTGCAGTGACTGTGTATAAAGAGTTATGTGTTTCTGCAGTTGAAATTGTAACTGGTTGTTTGTTTGCTACTTGTTTAAGTTTGGCTTTCCATGTTGTGTATGGCATATTGTCTAACAGCATTTTAAAATAGTGAGAAGTAAATACTTGATTTGGGGCCCCTCTTATTATTATTCTTACCCTCTGTAACACAAAAGAACTTTTTATAATAGCAGATCATCTGTCAATTAGTAAAGTTGTCCTTCTGTGACTTAGAAAATTAAACATGGTAGTTGATAGCTGTATGTCTGCTGGGTTTTGCAATGCTACCTCTAGGTTGTTGGTTCTGTCAGGAGGTGGATGGTGTTGTCCCAGCTGAAATTCTCGCAGTACAAAACCAACCACTGTCATTGCCAGCAACGCCGTCAGTACACGTGCTGTCCACTTCAACGTTGGTAGCTTTGACTTTGCTGATGGTCTGGGCTTGGGTAGGCAGATGTTCTGTGTGCTTTCCCAGTCTACATCTTCTTCCTCGAACTGAAGTAGTAGCTGTAGCCATGTTTGCTGTTCTTCCTCTTTTGCAGGATTCAAAACTGCTTGTCCTTTTTCTGGTTCTCTTGTCTCACTGAATTCAGTTTGCCACAGCTCAGCTAAGCTTTCTAGGGAGTCAATATCTCTTCTTCCTCCTCCATCAGGCCATCTTCGGCATAGAAGCTGTTCTGAGGCTGGTGAGGGCTGTGGGTTGGTTTCTGGGTAGGAGAGCCACAGTGATGCTTTAACTGTTGTGCATTTGTTGTGAGTTGGTTGAACTGGTGGTGACGGAAGAGGCACTTTCACTTCCGCCTCACGGCCGGAGTAAGCTTGCTGCGTCCATGTTGCTGCGTGGTTGTTCTGCAGCGGTCTCATGGCCGCTGCGCAGCCAAAGGGTGTTAGTGGAGTGCCCTGGCTAAAGGGAGCTAGCAGATTCTCTTCTGTGTCCTCTATAGACTCGCTGTCTATTTGTCCGTCACAGTCATCCTCCCCCCTTCCCGGCGAAATGCCTGAACCTGGGGGTGGCGGCTTCACTTCCGGCACACGGCAGGGGCAACATGGCGGTGCCTCCGGTGCCACTCTCCTTCTGCACATTGACTGTGCAACCACCGTGTAGCGGTCGCCCCGTAACGGTCCAGGGGTCGGCGCTGCTCTGTAATGGTCCTCGGCTCCAGCAGCACTGCTTGCTGCTCTGTATGGCATGGTCTCAGCTGCAGCCATGGGCGCTGGCATAAAGCCAGCATCCCCCCCGGCTGCCATGCTCATGCTGCCAGCCCCCAAGCCATGCTCCTTCACACCACACGCTGCCACTGCACTGTTCCCCCCAAGGGCTCCCCCTCCCCCCCATCCCCCCTGACCAACGTGCATGCCCCCCCTGCCCCACTCGGTCGGTGGGGGGGCTGGGGTTGAAGGGGGGGGGTTGAGGGGAAAGGAGTGAAGGGGGGGGAAGTCCACTCTCCCGGGTGCATTTGCCTTTCTGTAGTGCTTATTCAAGGCTATCATAATGTCTTTCCATGTAGACAAATTCTTGAGGGCGTCTGTTTTTCCCTCACTGGCTTTTTCAATAATTTTGTTCCCTATTTTCCTCCAAGATGACACTTGACAAGGTCCAGTCAGAGGGAATGCAGGTTCAGGCAACGAAATCCAATATAACAAGTCCCATAACTTACTTTCTTCTATGGTTGTTCTTGTAAAAGTTGAGAGACAGCTTCAGCTGTTTGTTTGATTTTTGGAGTAATTCCCTCCTGACGGGTAAACCACCCTCCCATATTCGCCAATTTTTGGTTACCTCTGTGCGGAAGCTCTGTTGTCCTTTCTTCTGGTCCTTTTTTCTTCCTTTTTTGTTCCTTTTTGCAGAGGTAACCCAGCGCGCTGAATTCTTTCTTTTCTTCCTTTTGGTTTTGGCGATATGGACACCCCCGGACAGGTTCCCCAGAGCTTCTGCTCCTGGTTGCCGGTAACCTGCTGAAGACCCTGTTCGGGCTCCATTTGAGGTGCTGTTCAAGGCACGAACCCCACTCTGACACGAACAAGTGCCAGAGCAGAAATACCATTTATTCAAACTGCCTAGGTTTAAATACCACGCCTGAACATGTCACGTGACCCTCTAACCAATGACAATCAAATATTGTCTGAGAACCCGGGAGACCACAACTCCCATGGTTCATTGCTACATTCTTCCTGCCACACTTCCCTTCTTCTGCCCCACCCCCAACAGCTTTGCCAGCTCTTCCTGGCCAGAGGAAGGCTTAACCAAAGAGCTCGAATCACATAACATCCTGCCTTGGAAGGGACCCACAAGGGTCGCCCAGTCCAACTCCTGGCCCTGTGCAGGACAGCACAGCCATCCCACCGTGTGCCTGAGAGCGTTGTCCAACCGCTCCTTGAGCTCTGGCAGCCTTGGGGCCGTGACCACTGCCCTGGGCAGCCCGTTCCAGTGCCCGACCACCCTCCGGGGAAAGCACCAGGGCAGTTGAAGGCTCCACGAGAAGCAGGGACTGTGACCTGGAGGCTGCTTCAAGCTGCCTGTAGAGGTCTCCTCCCCATCTTGCTCCTGCTCAGGAGGCCTGGAGCAAACCCCCACAGCAATGTGCCCATTCCCAGCCTGCCCGCCCTTTGATCCTGACCCATCAACTCCTGAGTGGCTCGCCATCCCCCCCAAGACAGAGGTCGAGACCTTCCGAGTGTCACCTCCCCGAGATCTACGGATGTCGTCTCCCTGGGCTCCTGTGAGGCCCCGCATGTGGTTGCCAGCGCATTCTTCCCTCTCCCTTATGGGCCCTGTCCAATGCAGCCCCAGGGCAGCCCGGAGGAGCCCTGTCTGGGGCTGCGCTGGGGTGACCGGGGACACGGTGGGCTCACTGGGAGCAGCCTTCCAAAGCCCCAGAGCGGCAGGATGGTGCCCAGGCTCTGCTCAGGGCTGCTTTGGGCGTGGGGCCGTCTGCGCGAGTCCTGCACGGGACCCATGTGTCCTGGCTGCCACGCCAAAGGGCTGCTTCCCCAGGCGAAGGGGGCAGGGGAGTGACCATGCGGGAGTGCCTGCACCTCTGGCAGTGACTCAGGCCCGGGGTGCCCTTTGGGTGCCCTTGGTGCCCTTTGGGCCTTGCTGGATCTGCTTGCTGCCATTTGCTGGGGCCACCCTGCACTCCCTCCCCATTCCAGGCAGACACAGGCAGGTGTTGGAATAAAATCTTTTCTTCCGTAACCAGAAGAAAACTGTTAACTATATCTACGGAACGGCGGAGGGGGTCAGACAGAAATGCACACAAATCAACAGGATTGGCAAAAATGTCCGCTTTATTAGAGGACAGACAGCTCATATGCTGCCTGCGACACACAGACATGTGGTTCTTCCCCAGGTTACATTGGATACATAAGGCAAACATACTGTGGTGTACAGTACTAATTGGATATCAGCAGGTGTCCATAAGACTTGTTTTCCTGCCAGAACAACTCCTCCTTCACCTTGGCACAAGGCCTGCGCCATAGAAGTGGCGCAATATTTTTTACTCTCTGCACCCAGCCATGCCAAGGGGAAGGTCTCAGAAATGCAACTGAAATTGTTCACACAATTTCTGTCCACCGACATCTACGTCTACATCTATCTCTACATCTTCCCTACATCTCTATCTACATCTTCCCCACATAAACACCCTCCCTCCCTCCCGCTGGGATAGATCCCCAAACGATCTATCCCTCCAACTGGCATAGATCCCCAAACGATCTATGCCTCAACCTGGGATAGGTCCCCAAACGACCTATCCCTCAAACAGGGATAGGTCCCCAAACGACCTATCCCTTTAACAGGCCTAAGCCAATCTTCCTGCCCCAGCCCCGGCTGCGGGAGCCTTGATCTTGATGGCAGGCCCTGGCTCAGAGCCCCCCTTCCTCTTCGCCCCGCGCCTTTCCAGCTTGGTGTCTCCGCGGTCCGTGGGCGCGGGGACGCTGCTGCCACCATCCTGGCTGGTCCCTGCAGCCCCCGGGGAGGAAGCCAAGTGCCCCTGAGTCCCCTGCGGCAGGACCTTCCCACTCAGCAGAGCGCGGCTGGTTGGAGTCACCCCAGGCTCCCTGGTGGCTTGGAGCTGGGGTGCGGCTGAGGGGCTGGCGGTGGTGTGCCTGGGCGGGGAGGTGTCCTCCTCCATGGGGACATCGCTGGCCAGCGAGAGGTCGCAGCCTCGGGGGGCGTCCTCCTCCATGGCGACATCGCTGGCCAGCGAGAGGTCACAGCCGCGGGCGGTGTCCTCCTCCATGGGGACGTCGGTGGCCAGTGAGAGGTCGCAGCCGCGGGGGGCGTCCTCCTCCATGGAGACGTCACTGGCCAGGCTGATGTTAAGTGCCGGGGTGACGTCCACATCCATGGGGGTGCTCCCGTCTGGGGGGCTGCCACTGCCCAGGGGTGTCCCGGAGGGGTTGGCTGAGCTGGCAGGGCTGCGCTGGCTGTGCCGCGCTGCTGGGACCGGGGCCACTGCTCTCCCCTGATGGTGGTAGGGCTGCAGTTGACCCTGGGGGGCACGTTGGTCTGCCCCAGCCAGGGGCTTCCCACTGCCCTGGGGCCCCCCCCGGGCAGTGTTGGATGGAACAGCAACGCCAGGGCTGCTTGCCAGTGGGGCTGGTGGAGGCAGGTTGGCTGAGCCTGTGAGAAAGAGCAAAGCCTGGAAGTCACATCCCGAGCTGGGGCCGTCAGGCGCTTGGAGGACTGAGGAGGAGGAGGAGGAGGAGGGCGAGGTGCAGGGGAGGAAGGGCTGTGAATGTCCCCACCGTGCACTGCGGGGCTTTCGGGGTCAGGCTCTGTCCTCACCTTTGGTGCCGGAGCTTTGGGGGGAGCGGAAGAGCTGCACGAGCCGGGTCAGGGCTGATCTCCAGCTCACAGAGCGGCGCCACAGAGCTGACAGGGCCATGGTCCGTCACGCTCGGTGGCCGGTCGCTTCTGTTGACTGGACACAGGTCTGGATGCTCCTCTTGGAGCGTCTCCAGGGATGGAATGTCGGGCCTCCCATTGTGTCATAGACACAGCAGTAATGCTGGGGCTTCCCTGAGGTGCTGTTCAAGGCACGAACCCCACTCTGACACGAACAAGTGCCAGAGCAGAATTACCGTTTATTCAAACTGCCCAGGTTTAAATACCACGCCTGAACATGTCACGTGACCCTCTAACCAATGACAATCAAATATTGTCTGAGAACCCGGGAGACCACAACTCCCATGGTTCATTGCTACATTCTTCCTGCCACATCTCCCTCCTCTTTTTATTAACAAGTTGAGAAACACTATGTTTTTAACATTCTTATTAGAACCAATCTTATTTCAACTAATTATAAAAAACAGGGCCTATCGTCACAAGGCCTTTATTGAACTGTTGACAACTTTATTGGTTCGTGCAATATTCAAGCAATCTCAAATTACCCAGGGTTTGTAGGTGTGGATAACCTTTTATCTGAGGGTGACTTTGTGTAATGGCATCATCTTTATTTTAAAGGGAAATGTGTTGGGTTGTAGATGTTGTGTCTGAGGTGGTGTTGTCTGAAGTAGTGTTTAAGATGTCTTGCTATAAAGTGTACTTGCTTTCACACACACATACATGCGTCCACTCAACTTTCTCATTCATACTCCGGTGGCCACCGTTTCATTCTCTCCTTACACATGCACTCTTAAACCCTTTATTGTGTTTGACTCATGGAGTTTTGGTTCTGTATTGGTTACTGTTTATGTGTTTCTTTTGGTTCTGCCTTGGTTACTGTTTATATGTTTCTTTTGGTTCTGTTGTATCATTTACTGCTTCTTTGTGATTCTCCCTGTTTTAAGGAAATGTTAATGTAGATTTACACACATAGGGAACAGACCCATATCTCTTTTCCCCCTTTTATTTTTTTTTTTCTCCCCACTGTGTGATGTGTTTACTATTGTTGGTCGTGTTTCTTCTAATCCAAATCCTTCACTTATTTCTTCTGGTGGTTGCTCCTGTTGTGGTGGAGGGCTAATATAAGGCCTGACACATCTAGAAGGGACCCATTGTAATTTGGTACCCTTGGATACACAGGCATATCCCCTTCCCCATGTTATGAGATCTACTGGTCCTGACCATTGCCCAGATATTAAATCTTTGATCATAACTGGTGGTTTGGAAGATGAAAGTATTTGAGTTTTATCTTGGCGTTCATACTTGCTATGGTCTGTATCATCACAGTTTAAGAAATTTAGAACATATGACGCTTTCCGTAAGCGTTCCTGGGGGCTATATACCGACTCCCCTCTTTTTTGTCTTTGAAGCATTTCTTTTAGTGTACGGTGAGCTCTTTCTACAATCGCTTGTCCTGTGGGTGAATGCGGTATACCTATGGAATGGAGTATTCCCCAATCTGTGAGAAATGTTTTGATTTTTTCAGAACAATGAGCAGGGCCATTGTCGGTTTTTATGGTTTTTGGAATTCCTAGGATTGCGAAACAACTGAGCCAGTGTCTGATAACGTCTTTGGCTTTTTCTCCCGTGTGTGCTGTTGCATTAATGTATCTGGAATACATGTCTACTGTAACATGGACATATTTTAGTTTACCGAATTCAGCTATATGTGTAAGGTCTGTCTGCCAGATTTCATTGGCTGTTATGCCCCTGGGATTAACCCCTTCCTTAGCTGGCATGGGGGTAATTCGCTGGCAGTCAGAGCATGACATAATTATGTCTCTGGTCTGGTTTATTGTAATTTGGAATTGTCTCTTTAATGAACGTGCATTTTGGTGGAAGAACTGGTGTGAGACTTTAGCCTGTTCCAGAATTTTGGGAACTGTAGTTGCCATAGCAGTTGCATCAGCTTTTTGATTGCCCTCTGCTATGGGTCCTGGAAGTTCTGTGTGTGACCGAGTGTGCATTATGTAAAAATCAAATTTTCTGTGGTTGATAAGAAACCATATGGTACGAATTTCTGTAAATAAGTGAGGATTAGTGACATCTCGAAGGAAGGAGGCTTCGAGACGTGAGACCAACCCTGCTGCATAGTGAGAATCTGTGACAACATTCATAGGTTGATCATGGAACAATTCAAATGCCATGCGGATAGCTGCTAGTTCTAAAACCTGTACAGAACCTTGGTCCAAGGTTTGTACCTTATTGTCCCATTGTCCTGTGGCAGGGTTCTTCCATGTCACGATGGCTTTTTTCGATCGTCCAGATGCATCAGTGAAGACTGTGACTCCATTTACTGGTCGTAGTTTGCAGCGACGCGTGGCCATCAGGGGTAGATTTCCTATTTCCGCCCAGAGTTTATGTTTCGGGAAGTGAATGGAAATATTACCGTGGAAGTCCGCTAATGCAGTCTGAAACCCAGCGTCCTCTGCAAGAAGCCAGTCTAAGTTGTCTTTTGTGGCTGGAATGTAGATCGTCTCAGGATCCCTTCCATCCATCTCCTGCAGATGTCCTCTACCTTTCATAATGAGCTTAGCAAGCATGTCATTAACGGTCCAAACAGTCTTAGGTGGAGAGTGGGGAAGAAATAACCATTCTAGAATTCTCAAAGGGTCAGATTCTGCCTGATCCCATTGGAAAAGGACAGCAAAAGGTTGGAACTTGCTGGATATGATGGCGAGGCGAATGTGCAGGTCAGGGGGTTGTCGTCTGCTTTGCCTGTTTTCGACAGCTTGGGAGCATACTTCCAGAGCTTGTTTTGCTTCTGGGGTTAGGGATCGAATAGATGTGAGAGTTGGGTCACCTTTAAGTAGCTCGAAGAGGGGGTGCAATTCCTCTGTTGTGATGCCCAAGACAGGCCTCAGCCAGTTAATGGCTCCTAAAAGCCCTTGCAAATCATTCAGGGTCATAGTGTCCGTTACTTTGAAAGTCACTGGTTGTGGCATGATTTCCTGTTGAGTGATCCTCCATCCGAGGTAGGTCCAAGGTTGGGTGCGTTGAATTTTTTCTGGGGCAAGCTGCAGACCTGCTTTTTGGATGGCGTCAGTTAAGGCAGTCAAGGTGGATTGTAGTTCAGTCCCATGTTTTGCTGCTATCAGGATGTTTGATATTCCTGTCTTTGCCTCCCATTCTAATTGTTCAATTTGGGTATAGGTCAATTTATGCATGTTTGTGTTTTGAGTAGATCTAGAGGTGTGTATTGCTGTATGTTGCAACTTTGTGGAGCATCATTGGGCTTGTGTTGTATGAAGGTTTTGTTTGTTTTGCTTTCTCAAGGCTCTTGCAGTGACTGTGTATAAAGAGTTATGTGTTTCTGCAGTTGAAATTGTAACTGGTTGTTTGTTTGCTACTTGTTTAAGTTTGGCTTTCCATGTTGTGTATGGCATCTTGTCTAACAGCATTTTAAAATAGTGAGAAGTAAATACTTGATTTGGGGCCCCTCTTATTATTATTCTTACCCTCTGTAACACAAAAGAACTTTTTATAATAGCAGATCATCTGTCAATTAGTAAAGTTGCCCTTCTGTGACTTAGAAAATTAAACATGGTAGTTGATAGCTGTATGTCTGCTGGGTTTTGCAATGCTACCTCTAGGTTGTTGGTTCTGTCAGGAGGTGGATGGTGTTGTCCCAGCTGAAATTCTCGCAGTACAAAACCAACCACTGTCATTGCCAGCAACGCCGTCAGTACACGTGCTGTCCACTTCAACGTTGGTAGCTTTGACTTTGCTGATGGTCTGGGCTTGGGTAGGCAGATGTTCTGTGTGCTTTCCCAGTCTACATCTTCTTCCTCGAGCTGAAGTAGTAGCCGTAGCCATGTTTGCTGTTCTTCCTCTTTTGCAGGATTCAAAACTGCTTGTCCTTTTTCTGGTTCTCTTGTCTCACTGAATTCAGTTTGCCACAGCTCAGCTAAGCTTTCTAGGGAGTCAATATCTCTTCTTCCTCCTCCATCAGGCCATCTTCGGCATAGAAGCTGTTCTGAGGCTGGTGAGGGCTGTGGGTTGGTTTCTGGGTAGGAGAGCCACAGTGATGCTTTAACTGTTGTGCATTTGTTGTGAGTTGGTTGAACTGGTGGTGACGGAAGAGGCACTTTCACTTCCGCCTCACGGCCGGAGTAAGCTTGCTGCGTCCATGTTGCTGCGTGGTTGTTCTGCAGCGGTCTCATGGCCGCTGCGCAGCCAAAGGGTGTTAGTGGAGCGCCCTGGCTAAAGGGAGCTAGCAGATTCTCTTCTGTGTCCTCTATAGACTCGCTGTCTATTTGTCCGTCACAGTCATCCTCCCCCCTTCCCGGCGAAATGCCTGAACCTGGGGGTGGCGGCTTCACTTCCGGCACACGGCAGGGGCAACATGGCGGTGCCTCCGGTGCCACTCTCCTTCTGCACATTGACTGTGCAACCACCGTGTAGCGGTCGCCCCGTAACGGTCCAGGGGTCGGCGCTGCTCTGTAATGGTCCTCGGCTCCAGCAGCACTGCTTGCTGCTCTGTATGGCATGGTCTCAGCTGCAGCCATGGGCGCTGGCATAAAGCCAGCATCCCCCCCGGCTGCCATGCTCATGCTGCCAGCCCCCAAGCCATGCTCCTTCACACCACACGCTGCCACTGCACTGTTCCCCCCAAGGGCTCCCCCTCCCCCCCATCCCCCCTGACCAACGTGCATTCCCCCCCTGCCCCACTCGGTCGGTGGGGGGGCTGGGGTTGAAGGGGGGGGGTTGAGGGGAAAGGAGTGAAGGGGGGGGAAGTCCACTCTCCCGGGTGCATTTGCCTTTCTGTAGTGCTTATTCAAGGCTATCATAATGTCTTTCCATGTAGCCAAATTCTTGAGGGCGTCTGTTTTTCCCTCACTGGCTTTTTCAATAATTTTGTTCCCTATTTTCCTCCAAGATGACACTTGACAAGGTCCAGTCAGAGGGAATGCAGGTTCAGGCAACGAAATCCAATATAACAAGTCCCATAACTTACTTTCTTCTATGGTTGTTCTTGTAAAAGTTGAGAGACAGCTTCAGCTGTTTGTTTGATTTTTGGAGTAATTCCCTCCTGACGGGTAAACCACCCTCCCATATTCGCCAATTTTTGGTTACCTCTGTGCGGAAGCTCTGTTGTCCTTTCTTCTGGTCCTTTTTTCTTCCTTTTTTGTTCCTTTTTGCAGAGGTAACCCAGCGCGCTGAATTCTTTCTTTTCTTCCTTTTGGTTTTGGCGATATGGACACCCCCGGACAGGTTCCCCAGAGCTTCTGCTCCTGGTTGCCGGTAACCTGCTGAAGACCCTGTTCGGGCTCCATTTGAGGTGCTGTTCAAGGCACGAACCCCACTCTGACACGAACAAGTGCCAGAGCAGAAATACCATTTATTCAAACTGCCCAGGTTTAAATACCACGCCTGAACATGTCACGTGACCCTCTAACCAAAGACAATCAAATATTGTCTGAGAACCCGGGAGACCACAACTCCCATGGTTCATTGCTACATTCTTCCTGCCACACTTCCCTTCTTCTGCCCCACCCCCAACAGCTTTGCCAGCTCTTCCTGGCCAGAGGAAGGCTTAACCAAAGAGCTCGAATCACATAACATCCTGCCTTGGAAGGGACCCACAAGGGTCGCCCAGTCCAACTCCTGGCCCTGTGCAGGACAGCACAGCCATCCCACCGTGTGCCTGAGAGCGTTGTCCAAACGCTCCTTGAGCTCTGGCAGCCTTGGGGCCGTGACCACTGCCCTGGGCAGCCCGTTCCAGTGCCCGACCACCCTCCGGGGAAAGCACCAGGGCAGTTGAAGTCTCCACGAGAAGCAGGGACTGTGACCTGGAGGCTGCTTCAAGCTGCCTGTAGAGGTCTCCTCCCCATCTTGCTCCTGCTCAGGAGGCCTGGAGCAAACCCCCACAGCAGTGTGCCCATTCCCAGCCTGCCCGCCCTTTGATCCTGACCCATCAACTCCTGAGTGGCTCGCCATCCCCCCCAAGACAGAGGTCGAGACCTTCCGAGTGTCACCTCCCCGAGATCTACGGATGTCGTCTCCCTGGGCTCCTGTGAGGCCCCGCATGTGGTTGCCAGCGCATTCTTCCCTCTCCCTTATGGGCCCTGTCCAATGCAGCCCCAGGGCAGCCCGGAGGAGCCCTGTCTGGGGCTGCGCTGGGGTGACCGGGGACACGGTGGGCTCACTGGGAGCAGCCTTCCAAAGCCCCAGAGCGGCAGGATGGTGCCCAGGCTCTGCTCAGGGCTGCTTTGGGCGTGGGGCCGTCTGCGCGAGTCCTGCACGGGACCCATGTGTCCTGGCTGCCACGCCAAAGGGCTGCTTCCCCAGGCGAAGGGGACAGGGGAGTGACCCTGCGTGAGAGCCTGCACCTCTGGCAGTGACTCAGGCCCGGGGTGCCCTTTGGGTGCCCTTGGTGCCCTTTGGGCCTTGCTGGATCTGCTTGCTGCCATTTGCTGGGGCCACCCTGCACTCCCTCCCCATTCCAGGCAGACACAGGCAGGTGTTGGAATAAAATCTTTTCTTCCGTAACCAGAAGAAAACTGTTAACTATGTCTACGGAACGGCGGAGGGGGTCAGACAGAAATGCACACAAATCAACAGGATTGGCAAAAATGTCCGCTTTATTAGAGGACAGACAGCTCATATGCTGCCTGCGACACACAGACATGTGGTTCTTCCCCAGGTTACATTGGATACATAAGGCAAACATACTGTGGTGTACAGTACTAATTGGATATCAGCAGGTGTCCATAAGACTTGTTTTCCTGCCAGAACAACTCCTCCTTCACCTTGGCACAAGGCCTGCGCCATAGAAGTGGCGCAGTATTTTTTACTCTCTGCACCCAGCCATGCCAAGGGGAAGGTCTCAGAAATGCAACTGAAATTGTTCACACAATTTCTGTCCACCGACATCTACGTCTACATCTATCTCTACATCTTCCCTACATCTCTATCTACATCTTCCCCACATAAACACCCTCCCTCCCTCCCGCTGGGATAGATCCCCAAACGATCTATCCCTCCAACTGGCATAGATCCCCAAACGATCTATGCCTCAACCTGGGATAGGTCCCCAAACGACCTATCCCTCAAACAGGGATAGGTCCCCAAACGACCTATCCCTTTAACAGGCCTAAGCCAATCTTCCTGCCCCAGCCCCGGCTGCGGGAGCCTTGATCTTGATGGCAGGCCCTGGCTCAGAGCCCCCCTTCCTCTTCGCCCCGCGCCTTTCCAGCTTGGTGTCTCCGCGGTCCGTGGGCGCGGGGACGCTGCTGCCACCATCCTGGCTGGTCCCTGCAGCCCCCGGGGAGGAAGCCAAGTGCCCCTGAGTCCCCTGCGGCAGGACCTTCCCACTCAGCAGAGCGCGGCTGGTTGGAGTCACCCCAGGCTCCCTGGTGGCTTGGAGCTGGGGTGCGGCTGAGGGGCTGGCGGTGGTGTGCCTGGGCGGGGAGGTGTCCTCCTCCATGGGGACATCGCTGGCCAGCGAGAGGTCGCAGCCTCGGGGGGCGTCCTCCTCCATGGCGACATCGCTGGCCAGCGAGAGGTCACAGCCGCGGGCGGTGTCCTCCTCCATGGGGACGTCGGTGGCCAGTGAGAGGTCGCAGCCGCGGGGGGCGTCCTCCTCCATGGAGACGTCACTGGCCAGGCTGATGTTAAGTGCCGGGGTGACGTCCACATCCATGGGGGTGCTCCCGTCTGGGGGGCTGCCACTGCCCAGGGGTGTCCCGGAGGGGTTGGCTGAGCTGGCAGGGCTGCGCTGGCTGTGCCGCGCTGCTGGGACCGGGGCCACTGCTCTCCCCTGATGGTGGTAGGGCTGCAGTTGACCCTGGGGGGCACGTTGGTCTGCCCCAGCCAGGGGCTTCCCACTGCCCTGGGGCCCCCCCCGGGCAGTGTTGGATGGAACAGCAACGCCAGGGCTGCTTGCCAGTGGGGCTGGTGGAGGCAGGTTGGCTGAGCCTGTGAGAAAGAGCAAAGCCTGGAAGTCACATCCCGAGCTGGGGCCGTCAGGCGCTTGGAGGACTGAGGAGGAGGAGGAGGAGGGCGAGGTGCAGGGGAGGAAGGGCTGTGAATGTCCCCACCGTGCACTGCGGGGCTTTCGGGGTCAGGCTCTGTCCTCACCTTTGGTGCCGGAGCTTTGGGGGGAGCGGAAGAGCTGCACGAGCCGGGTCAGGGCTGATCTCCAGCTCACAGAGCGGCGCCACAGAGCTGACAGGGCCATGGTCCGTCACGCTCGGTGGCCGGTCGCTTCTGTTGACTGGACACAGGTCTGGATGCTCCTCTTGGAGCGTCTCCAGGGATGGAATGTCGGGCCTCCCATTGTGTCATAGACACAGCAGTAATGCTGGGGCTTCCCTGAGGTGCTGTTCAAGGCACGAACCCCACTCTGACACGAACAAGTGCCAGAGCAGAATTACCGTTTATTCAAACTGCCCAGGTTTAAATACCACACCTGAACATGTCACGTGACCCTCTAACCAATGACAATCAAATATTGTCTGAGAACCCGGGAGACCACAACTCCCATGGTTCATTGCTACATTCTTCCTGCCACATCTCCCTCCTCTTTTTATTAACAAGTTGAGAAACACTATGTTTTTAACATTCTTATTAGAACCAATCTTATTTCAACTAATTATAAAAAACAGGGCCTATCGTCACAAGGCCTTTATTGAACTGTTGACAACTTTATTGGTTCGTGCAATATTCAAGCAATCTCAAATTACCCAGGGTTTGTAGGTGTGGATAACCTTTTATCTGAGGGTGACTTTGTGTAATGGCATCATCTTTATTTTAAAGGGAAATGTGTTGGGTTGTAGATGTTGTGTCTGAGGTGGTGTTGTCTGAAGTAGTGTTTAAGATGTCTTGCTATAAAGTGTACTTGCTTTCACACACACATACATGCGTCCACTCAACTTTCTCATTCATACTCCGGTGGCCACCGTTTCATTCTCTCCTTACACATGCACTCTTAAACCCTTTATTGTGTTTGACTCATGGAGTTTTGGTTCTGTATTGGTTACTGTTTATGTGTTTCTTTTGGTTCTGCCTTGGTTACTGTTTATATGTTTCTTTTGGTTCTGTTGTATCATTTACTGCTTCTTTGTGATTCTCCCTGTTTTAAGGAAATGTTAATGTAGATTTACACACATAGGGAACAGACCCATATCTCTTTTCCCCCTTTTATTTTTTTTTTTCTCCCCACTGTGTGATGTGTTTACTATTGTTGGTCGTGTTTCTTCTAATCCAAATCCTTCACTTATTTCTTCTGGTGGTTGCTCCTGTTGTGGTGGAGGGCTAATATAAGGCCTGACACATCTAGAAGGGACCCATTGTAATTTGGTACCCTTGGATACACAGGCATATCCCCTTCCCCATGTTATGAGATCTACTGGTCCTGACCATTGCCCAGATATTAAATCTTTGATCATAACTGGTGGTTTGGAAGATGAAAGTATTTGAGTTTTATCTTGGCGTTCATACTTGCTATGGTCTGTATCATCACAGTTTAAGAAATTTAGAACATATGACGCTTTCCGTAAGCGTTCCTGGGGGCTATATACCGACTCCCCTCTTTTTTGTCTTTGAAGCATTTCTTTTAGTGTACGGTGAGCTCTTTCTACAATCGCTTGTCCTGTGGGTGAATGCGGTATACCTATGGAATGGAGTATTCCCCAATCTGTGAGAAATGTTTTGATTTTTTCAGAACAATGAGCAGGGCCATTGTCGGTTTTTATGGTTTTTGGAATTCCTAGGATTGCGAAACAACTGAGCCAGTGTCTGATAACGTCTTTGGCTTTTTCTCCCGTGTGTGCTGTTGCATTAATGTATCTGGAATACATGTCTACTGTAACATGGACATATTTTAGTTTACCGAATTCAGCTATATGTGTAAGGTCTGTCTGCCAGATTTCATTGGCTGTTATGCCCCTGGGATTAACCCCTTCCTTAGCTGGCATGGGGGTAATTCGCTGGCAGTCAGAGCATGACATAATTATGTCTCTGGTCTGGTTTATTGTAATTTGGAATTGTCTCTTTAATGAACGTGCATTTTGGTGGAAGAACTGGTGTGAGACTTTAGCCTGTTCCAGAATTTTGGGAACTGTAGTTGCCATAGCAGTTGCATCAGCTTTTTGATTGCCCTCTGCTATGGGTCCTGGAAGTTCTGTGTGTGACCGAGTGTGCATTATGTAAAAATCAAATTTTCTGTGGTTGATAAGAAACCATATGGTACGAATTTCTGTAAATAAGTGAGGATTAGTGACATCTCGAAGGAAGGAGGCTTCGAGACGTGAGACCAACCCTGCTGCATAGTGAGAATCTGTGACAACATTCATAGGTTGATCATGGAACAATTCAAATGCCATGCGGATAGCTGCTAGTTCTAAAACCTGTACAGAACCTTGGTCCAAGGTTTGTACCTTATTGTCCCATTGTCCTGTGGCAGGGTTCTTCCATGTCACGATGGCTTTTTTCGATCGTCCAGATGCATCAGTGAAGACTGTGACTCCATTTACTGGTCGTAGTTTGCAGCGACGCGTGGCCATCAGGGGTAGATTTCCTATTTCCGCCCAGAGTTTATGTTTCGGGAAGTGAATGGAAATATTACCGTGGAAGTCCGCTAATGCAGTCTGAAACCCAGCGTCCTCTGCAAGAAGCCAGTCTAAGTTGTCTTTTGTGGCTGGAATGTAGATCGTCTCAGGATCCCTTCCATCCATCTCCTGCAGATGTCCTCTACCTTTCATAATGAGCTTAGCAAGCATGTCATTAACGGTCCAAACAGTCTTAGGTGGAGAGTGGGGAAGAAATAACCATTCTAGAATTCTCAAAGGGTCAGATTCTGCCTGATCCCATTGGAAAAGGACAGCAAAAGGTTGGAACTTGCTGGATATGATGGCGAGGCGAATGTGCAGGTCAGGGGGTTGTCGTCTGCTTTGCCTGTTTTCGACAGCTTGGGAGCATACTTCCAGAGCTTGTTTTGCTTCTGGGGTTAGGGATCGAATAGATGTGAGAGTTGGGTCACCTTTAAGTAGCTCGAAGAGGGGGTGCAATTCCTCTGTTGTGATCCCCAAGACAGGCCTCAGCCAGTTAATGGCTCCTAAAAGCCCTTGCAAATCATTCAGGGTCATAGTGTCCGTTACTTTGAAAGTCACTGGTTGTGGCATGATTTCCTGTTGAGTGATCCTCCATCCGAGGTAGGTCCAAGGTTGGGTGCGTTGAATTTTTTCTGGGGCAAGCTGCAGACCTGCTTTTTGGATGGCGTCAGTTAAGGCAGTCAAGGTGGATTGTAGTTCAGTCCCGTGTTTTGCTGCTATCAGGATGTTTGATATTCCTGTCTTTGCCTCCCATTCTAATTGTTCAATTTGGGTATAGGTCAATTTATGCATGTTTGTGTTTTGAGTAGATCTAGAGGTGTGTATTGCTGTATGTTGCAACTTTGTGGAGCATCTTTGGGCTTGTGTTGTATGAAGGTTTTGTTTGTTTTGCTTTCTCAAGGCTCTTGCAGTGACTGTGTATAAAGAGTTATGTGTTTCTGCAGTTGAAATTGTAACTGGTTGTTTGTTTGCTACTTGTTTAAGTTTGGCTTTCCATGTTGTGTATGGCATATTGTCTAACAGCATTTTAAAATAGTGAGAAGTAAATACTTGATTTGGGGCCCCTCTTATTATTATTCTTACCCTCTGTAACACAAAAGAACTTTTTATAATAGCAGATCATCTGTCAATTAGTAAAGTTGTCCTTCTGTGACTTAGAAAATTAAACATGGTAGTTGATAGCTGTATGTCTGCTGGGTTTTGCAATGCTACCTCTAGGTTGTTGGTTCTGTCAGGAGGTGGATGGTGTTGTCCCAGCTGAAATTCTCGCAGTACAAAACCAACCACTGTCATTGCCAGCAACGCCGTCAGTACACGTGCTGTCCACTTCAACGTTGGTAGCTTTGACTTTGCTGATGGTCTGGGCTTGGGTAGGCAGATGTTCTGTGTGCTTTCCCAGTCTACATCTTCTTCCTCGAGCTGAAGTAGTAGCCGTAGCCATGTTTGCTGTTCTTCCTCTTTTGCAGGATTCAAAACTGCTTGTCCTTTTTCTGGTTCTCTTGTCTCACTGAATTCAGTTTGCCACAGCTCAGCTAAGCTTTCTAGGGAGTCAATATCTCTTCTTCCTCCTCCATCAGGCCATCTTCGGCATAGAAGCTGTTCTGAGGCTGGTGAGGGCTGTGGGTTGGTTTCTGGGTAGGAGAGCCACAGTGATGCTTTAACTGTTGTGCATTTGTTGTGAGTTGGTTGAACTGGTGGTGACGGAAGAGGCACTTTCACTTCCGCCTCACGGCCGGAGTAAGCTTGCTGCGTCCATGTTGCTGCGTGGTTGTTCTGCAGCGGTCTCATGGCCGCTGCGCAGCCAAAGGGTGTTAGTGGAGCGCCCTGGCTAAAGGGAGCTAGCAGATTCTCTTCTGTGTCCTCTATAGACTCGCTGTCTATTTGTCCGTCACAGTCATCCTCCCCCCTTCCCGGCGAAATGCCTGAACCTGGGGGTGGCGGCTTCACTTCCGGCACACGGCAGGGGCAACATGGCGGTGCCTCCGGTGCCACTCTCCTTCTGCACATTGACTGTGCAACCACCGTGTCACGGTCGCCCCGTAACGGTCCAGGGGTCGGCGCTGCTCTGTAATGGTCCTCGGCTCCAGCAGCACTGCTTGCTGCTCTGTATGGCATGGTCTCAGCTGCAGCCATGGGCGCTGGCATAAAGCCAGCATCCCCCCCGGCTGCCATGCTCATGCTGCCAGCCCCCAAGCCATGCTCCTTCACACCACACGCTGCCACTGCACTGTTCCCCCCAAGGGCTCCCCCTCCCCCCCATCCCCCCTGACCAACGTGCATTCCCCCCCTGCCCCACTCGGTCGGTGGGGGGGCTGGGGTTGAAGGGGGGGGGTTGAGGGGAAAGGAGTGAAGGGGGGGGAAGTCCACTCTCCCGGGTGCATTTGCCTTTCTGTAGTGCTTATTCAAGGCTATCATAATGTCTTTCCATGTAGACAAATTCTTGAGGGCGTCTGTTTTTCCCTCACTGGCTTTTTCAATAATTTTGTTCCCTATTTTCCTCCAAGATGACACTTGACAAGGTCCAGTCAGAGGGAATGCAGGTTCAGGCAACGAAATCCAATATAACAAGTCCCATAACTTACTTTCTTCTATGGTTGTTCTTGTAAAAGTTGAGAGACAGCTTCAGCTGTTTGTTTGATTTTTGGAGTAATTCCCTCCTGACGGGTAAACCACCCTCCCATATTCGCCAATTTTTGGTTACCTCTGTGCGGAAGCTCTGTTGTCCTTTCTTCTGGTCCTTTTTTCTTCCTTTTTTGTTCCTTTTTGCAGAGGTAACCCAGCGCGCTGAATTCTTTCTTTTCTTCCTTTTGGTTTTGGCGATATGGACACCCCCGGACAGGTTCCCCAGAGCTTCTGCTCCTGGTTGCCGGTAACCTGCTGAAGACCCTGTTCGGGCTCCATTTGAGGTGCTGTTCAAGGCACGAACCCCACTCTGACACGAACAAGTGCCAGAGCAGAAATACCATTTATTCAAACTGCCTAGGTTTAAATACCACGCCTGAACATGTCACGTGACCCTCTAACCAATGACAATCAAATATTGTCTGAGAACCCGGGAGA